TTGTATCAAAAGGTTGGATATTCGGGTTAGACCACTTCTGCAATGCGCACAGCGCTCAGAGCTGCTAGAGCCTCAGGGATCGGTGGCGCGACACGGATTATTGTTGACGTCGTAGTCTTGTTGGTGAAGTGGTAGTGGACGCTCAGTCGCGTCATAGATCTGTGGGTTGGTAGGTGGTTGAAGGAAAGCTGCTGCGGGCTGCTGAGTTGGTGTTGCCGCAGGGCTGATGTGGGCTGTGGATGTGGCAGTGGTGCTGATGTTGGCTGTTGAGTTGGAAGTGGTGCCACACAGGGTGTGGAGTGCGGATAGGTGGCATATGGAGCCGGAGTGGTGAAAAGTGCAGGATGCGGCGTGGCGCAAACATGTGCTTGGACGGACTGGGTCGGAGGCCACCATCCTGGGGGTCGGCTGCGCCCGAACACCAGTAGCGGGGCGGGCTGTTGGTGGAAAATATGTTGCTATTGCTTGGAGATTGGCTGATGGCTGTGGCGTGTGTTGGTAGGCCCATGGAGCTGGGGCCTGCTGGGTTGTGGGGAGGGTGACCCGCGTCGCGGTGGGGCAGTGTGGGCACGACTTTGCGAGCGTGGGGGTGTTTTGGACCGGCCGCGACGGCCTCCCCCCCCCGATGGGGTTCGCAAAGTCTCCAGGCAGCAAAGGAGGAGGTGGCTTGGGGAATGCTGGTTGTGAAGATTGGTTGGAGTCCATCGCAAGGACCTTGGGGATAAGTTCTGCATATACGCATGGCCGTACTCTCCCGGTTGCTTGTTGGGGTAATGTTGGCCACGGGAGAACGTGCCTGGTGATGCGGGAGAAGGACGGGTATATGGGCAAAGAGTGGAGCTCGGTTTGCGCAGGTGCGTCATGGGTGATGGGCGGTGCGAGCTGGGATTGTGGTGTTTGTCATTGTGTGGGTGGAGTGCTGCCGGTCACGCGATGGGTGCCTGCCCAAAGCACGGGTTCTGTTTGCTGATCCGAGTGGACGGTGAGTGGTGGCAAGTAGGATGTCTGGGCGGTATTGTGATGCAAGGGGATGGCGTGTGTGGGGCAGCCTGCACTGTAGATGATGTTGCGAGTGACCGGCGGGCTTTGGCCAGGTGCCTTGGCCTGGTGGCAGAAGGGGGTGAAGTGGCGGTTCGGATGGCACAGTTGTTGGATCGACGGTGGGGTGGTTGAGGAAAGTAGTGGCCCAATGAACCTAGAAAAAGCTTTGACCGCTCTGGTCACCTACGCCTTGCCAAAGTGGCTGGCTGTTTAGACCGCTGCGGTCACGTAAAGGCATGAGCCATCTTGGAATGCAATAATCCGTCAAGTCTTGGCAAGTGACTTGGGCCTAAGCCTACTTCGACCGCTCTGGTCACGCACATCTCCGGGCAGGGGAGATAAAGACTAACCCGCGTTCGAAGGGGTAGAGGGGCCACTCCTCGGGGCACCCCGGGCTCTCACGAGGAGGGACACAATAGAAGTGCGTACTGACTGGACAGCGGTGCCACACGCCAGCCTAAGTAAAAGCCTAAGCAAAGTTCAAGCAACAAATGCGTGTCTGCAGAGCTCAAAACCGATGCAATGGCCAGCGATTTGTTCTAGTAACAAAGGGGCCCAAGAGGAAGTAAGTGGTAATCACTGCAGGTACGTCTGGCTGATCAGGCCAGATATCAGCGCGGAACTTGACCCTCTTCGTTGGATCACCAGTCAAGTCCGTGAGTGATCCCCCTGCTTCAAAGAAACAGCAAAACCAAACACTCCGACGGGATCCCTGTGACTCCAAGGGTGACACACACACACACAATATCTAAAGTTTCTCTTGTTCAGGTCCAAGTAACTGCGTTTGCAATTGCCTCCGGATCTTCCACAAGGCCCAAATAACCCAAAAGTTCTTTGGCGCCTCCACGTCCAATCGCCGCCATTGTTGTGCAGGTGCCACATCGAATCTTCGGGCGGGGGTCCCTGGCTGAAATGCCAACAGCTTCAATGTACTGTAGATGAACACGGCACAGGTCCCCTCCAACCTAAGGGTAGCACAGGTCCCCAAATAAAGAAGAGAATCCGCTCTAAAAGGTCGTATGGTATGACGGCTCAAAACCGCCTTTGGATGCCTTTGGCAAATGCCGAGCGCCCTCATCCACTGGAACAAATAAAACTATATTCACATAATATGGAGAAAACATGGAAACATCATGGAAACATGTCATGTATGTCCAATGTTCCCTGACCGCTTCCTCACAGACGTTTGCTGAAGGTAAAACCGAAGCAAACCCCGGCATCGGCACTGAGCGGTTCCCAGGCCTCAAACCAATTAGAAGACGTTCAACTACCCTAGCCACTGCTGCACCCTCTCCCGCGCAAGCAATGGCTGCCAGCGCTTCTAAAGGTGCAGACAGCGAAGAATTGCTTGCCTTCAGGGCCCAGCATGTTTGCTTTACGATGTTTAGGATGAAAAAGAACCCCTCATTATGAAACTACATTGGGCGTGCCAAAACTTGCTTTTCAGTGATCTGTTCGAGCCAGTCCTGCCTGAGTAGATTCAAAACAGTGCATAATGCTGGTTACATCTCTTGCCACCATTGCCGCAGCACCCTCCTCTGCCAGTACCCTGTACAATGCTGAGACCTTTCGCTGAACCAAAATGTTTTCATCCTTCAAGCATGGTAGTAAAGCATATGAATGCTGCGCCACCGCTATTGCATCGTTCTTCTCCGCGATGGATCGCAAAGCTCCCAGGATGGCCAGCTTTACCGGAGCATCTTCACCTGCTTTTAAGCCTTAGCCAAAGCGACAAACTATTCCGTAGCTAGTAGTAACAAGTGCCACGCTAGTAGTAACAAGTGCCTTACTAGTAGTAACAAAAAGCTATTAGTAACAAGTGCATCGCTACTAGTAACAAGTGCCTTACTAGTGGTAACAAAAAGCTATTAGAAACTCCGTCCGTCCGCTCCGCTCCACGCCTCACCTCCCCTCACTCTCCCACTCCCTCACTCCCTACCTCACCCGCGCTGGGAGTTTCTGCTGACACGCCTGGGTGGCCGCTGAGCGGCTGGCCTCTTGCCCTTGCGTTTCCATGTGCTCTGCTTGCTCTTGAGGGGTTGGGAGGTTCTGCTGACGCACCTGGGCCTGTGGATGGCTGGCCTCCTGCCCTTGCGCTTCCCTGCGTTTTGCTCGCAGGGATGGGAGGTTGTGCACTCATTCAACTACTCACTCCATCCACTTAATCATTTCTTCATCTCTGCGTTCCTCCTGAGCCACAATGAACTTCACATGTGGGATTATCCGGTCCTTTAATTTACAGTCAAGGCGAGTGCAACTTGGTCGCATGTGATCTCATCTAATTCCAGAATGAAACACCAACGTCTAAAACCTTTACTTTTTAACAGGAGTGACTTCATTGCTGTGACTGAACCGCCAGTCCAGTGTGGAATAGTGCAGAGTAGATCTGTATACTATATAGATGCATTTGATACGCATATTACTAACTTGCACATTGAGTGGCAAAGCACGGTGTTTGAGCATCTGACATTCGACATGCAAGCTTCCAAAAGCTCCAAAGTCTTCACAGCTTGCTGGGCGCACAAACCAAAGAAGCTTCAACATTAATTAAGATGGGCATTGCATGGCCTTGCTGTTTGTTGCCATTGCTTGTCCCGCCTGAAGTTCAATCAGTGTTCCTGAAAAACTCAGTCTTCCTAACTTGGTCTGCGTACTGTGCCTACCAACTGAGACACATTAAGACTCTCCTGTGATGATTCCTATGGGATGTTTGTTAACCCTTCTTCAAGCCTTCTTCCGCCAAGCTTCCGCGAAGCATGGGTGGCAAGTTTCCCGCCAAGGCTTTTGCTAAGCGCTCACCTTTGCACAGCGAGGCCAAAGCCTCTGCGGCCTTATGCCGGACCTGTTGGAGCGATCGGAAGGTGGTCTACCCGCCCCATGCCCTCATGCCGTGGCTGTGACTCAAAATTGATCAACCTGCAACGACAGGTGGGGCCCGACGTTCCGTCGGCTCCGGTCCAACGGTCCGTTTCGCGTCCGTTTCGGGTCTCTCGGACCCATCACCTCGCCATCTTTGGAGCACAAATCCTGCACAAAGGGACACGAAGTAGCTTCTTGTTACTACTAGTAAGGCACTTGTTACTAGTAGCGATGCACTTGTTCCTAGTAGCTTCTTGTTACTACTAGTAAGTGTTCTCAGCTGAAAGAAGAGGAACTACTCCAGGCAAGCAGCTGTATACAAAGAATTGATGTGCTGCTCTTCCGCTGGTGTTGTGTATTCCTCCTGGAGGCAAACTCTCAATGCATCTCAGCAAAGATTCTTACGTTACGCATCTTGCCCATGTCATAAGTGCGAAAGAGTGTACATCCAAAAGGTACAGTGGAAGCAATGAAAACATTCTGCCTCCAAATTACTGTCTCGGTCCTTCGCGGTGTATGACAGCTTTTGTCGAACGCGAAGCCATCGGCTTGGTGCACCAGAGGCTTCCAACGCAGCCGTCGGGCCAAGCCCCAAAGACATGGAACTCCCGAGAGTCCAAGGGGCGTCGAAGGGGACCCTAAGGGGGATGGTTCTTTGAAAAAGCAGTATGAGCTCTTGTTCAAGACTCTAGTTCCACTTTGGGGGAAGTCTCGTGGAGTGTTAAATGATACCTAAAATTATATAAATCATCTTAAATCTAATAATATATACAGTAAGAAGATCGTTAAATCAGAGATCTGGATCTTTTTGCTGTAATGGATCACTCTTCTGATGCCAAGCAAGCAACTGTGCTATGCCAATTATGCTCGATCAAATAGACTTCAATAAACTGTTACTCTACAGCAGGATCTTTCTGTGACCACCACCCTGATCCCGAAAGGCAGCGTCAAACAGCTTTGAGGTGGCCACTTCTAGATCTACAATCTACACTCTACACCACTTACTAAACAGAGCCTTTCAATGCTGTGATATCTAGCAGCCATATCTGCCATCCCAGCTTCAGCGACTTCACCTTTCTAGTCAGGTCCACAGTTCTTGCCTCTTTCCCTCCTCCATGGCTTTTCGCTTTTCTGCTAGTTCGCGCTGGGCCTCTCGTCACTCCCCAGGATTCGTTCACAGTCCCTCATTTGCAACTGTTACAACGCCAATATTGGTCTTCATAACATCCCAAGCCACACACTTGACACAGGCCTTGTCGGCCTCTTTTGCATCATCAGAAACCACTAGCCTTGTCGCGGTAGTAGTGTAAAGACTGGCAAAACCAGCATCCAGGACCAGGAACAAAACCATTCACTTGCACTAGTACTTAGAACTCTGTGTTAATCATGCAGTCGACTCAGGGCATCACGTCATGTTCTGAAGTGGCATGTTGGGCCGTCGAACTGGAGAGGCAAACGTCCTCAATGACTCTGCGTTCCTACAGTGGGGACATGTCGCGACTAAGCCTCTTGGGTTGTGATGTGCGTTACAGCCTGACTCTGAAATCTCAAGGATGCATTTAAAATATGTAAAAGCAAAACCACACTCACAAATGATGACCAGGAAATGCAAAAGAAAGGCAGGAAAAAAGCAAACAAAGGCAGCTTGTCAAAAAGAGTGCATATCAAAAAAGCGAACACAATTCATCAGGAAGCCCCAAAACAGCAGTTTCAAAAAGGAACAAAAAAGCAAACAAAATGAACAACAAACAATGCACATGTACCAAAATGTCACAACAACGGTGACTGTTACAAGGAATCAAGCAAGTAAAAGCAAGGGAGAGCCTCAAGCAAACAGGAAATTGCTGGTCGAGTCGGGCCGCATGAAATAGCAACAAACAATAAGCAGTAGTTAGGAATACTACAGCTATAGTGTTATACAAGCAGTTAGTTAGTAGTGAACATTCACTCGACGATGGCTGAAACAATATGTTCATTAGCCAGCTCTTGCCAACGCCGAAAAGTCGACCAAGAAACGACAAACCAGTTCACAAAATCCACAAAAACTGCTCTGGAAAACAATCTTGCGTCTTAGAACAACCCCTGAGATTCAAGCTTGTTTGGCACCGGTGAACCAGCCTTAGTCTCAGTCTCTTCAAGCCACCGAATCAGTTGACTTGAATGTCGTCCCAGGCTGTTCAACTTCAAAAGAGTCGTTCAAACCTCCGAACCTGTCCAAGCACTTTGGAAGCAAACTGTCTTGGCCAATCCTCTGGGAGGTGCTGCTGGCCTCAAAACACTAGGTCACACATATATATATTATATATATACAATATGTGCTCTTTGTGAGGCTTCAGGCTTCTTGGACCCTGGCATTTGGCAAACAGGCTCCGGGGTGGTCTTTGCAACCTGCGGGCGCATCTCCAAGTGCTGCCATCACCGGCTTGAGTCGAAAAACCAACCTTCTGCGCCGACACACAAGGCGGTCCTTATCGTGTGTGACTTCGAAAACCCCCTGTGAGTGTAAACGAATGGCTTCAGATTCGGTCCAACTGCATTCGACCTGGTCTATTCTTGGACCTTTTCGTTCTGATTCAGGAATCAACAACACCTTTGTTGTCAAAACAACACCTTTTGGGTGGAATCTCTGAGTCTTTGGCCAGACACATTAAAGATGTCCTGAAGCAAAGCCATTCATTAGATCATCGTTCACATGTCCTAGTCCAGTCTCCTGTTCAACCATAATAGTATGTCAGCAAATGTGAGCGAACTCGTACAATCGCACATCAATCAACATGTCTCACAGCTACTTAGTAACACATCGTTGACATATGTTGACGACATATCTCACAACTCATGCTTCCAGACTCCAATCAATTGATGAAATACTTAGCATCTTTGAAGCATGATGGCTTCCCTAGTCCTGCCTTGCTGCCAAATCCAGGACCGCGTGGTTTAACGACGCCGGGGATTCCAACATCCTGCATCTGGGGAATCATGGTGAGCTGATGACATTTATCATCGTGTCACTGGTTCATTCATTTCACCCAATGCTTTCTGGATCTTTCCTCCAAAGCTGGATACCTCATGACCGACTCATAACACTAACATTCAAAATAATCAAAACCAAATTACGGTCTGGACCTATGGATCCAACGCCATCGCTTCCCTCATCATGTGTGTTCTCATCACCAATCAGACTTGCGCACCAACGTAACCAGCAAACGTGTCATATCATTTTGCTGTCTGACAGCCTCAAAGCAATTTCATAACATCAGATTCAGCTCTGCAAGAGCTCAGACCGCCTGGCCTCATCGTCATCCGACTCTTCTAAAGGTCTTTTGGGACGCCGAGGATCGATGACCGTCTCAGACCGCAGCGAAGCCATGAATCACAGCTTTCATGCATTCCATATGCAACAAAGCACGCAATTTTGGTCCAGGTGTCCAGGTGTCCTATCTCTAGGGCAACTGAGATATGGACCACCTTGCGGCTTGGTGGTTCGTGACGACCCTGACAGCTGCAACCACCGTTGGGTCTCGCCCCCCTAAACTGAAAATTGCTGGAAGCATTTTGTCTTTTTCAATGTTCAACGATGTGAGACCGCCATCCGCGATTGGACGGACGTCGCAGCACCTCTGCAGCCACGAAGGTGATCGGCTCGATCTTCGCGGATTCTTCTTCGACTTCCTGGAGGTGGGTGGATGCATTCACCGGTCGGTCCCACAGGTCCACGTTTTTGTGGATCAGCTCTGGGTTCAGAGTGGGGTGGGGGCAGGCGGCTAGTAAGCTTAAGTAGCTAGCAGCAAGGGAAGCTACTACAGGATGCAGAAAGGCTAGGGCTTATTAATGATTTGGTTCCTAGATGATGTCTGGGGAAGCTTCACTTGTTGTTTCGTTAGGGAACATCATCACCAAAGCACACGGCGAAGCTTGATTCAGAATCCCTACCCCTTCCTGAGGGGGACGTCGAAAATTGTAAGTTACATTTTCCTATCCGTAGGGCCTCAAAAAATGTAATTACATTAACTTTGAGGTGGCCTCAAAAAAGTAACTTACATTTTTGAGGCCTCATGGGTGATTTCCCGGGGAATGACCTCAAAAATGTAAGTTACATTTTTGAGGCACAATGGAGCGCTTACATTTTTAGACACCCCCTATCCTAGAAGTTGAAACTTGACACATGTAACTTGACACATTTCCTGTTCTGCTTTGTTGATGATGACTCATATTTTTGGAGGCTATGCTTTCCTTATTGGGAGTATTGGGAGGCATCAGTTTGTCTGTGTGGGTGTGCCCTCTTTCCCTTTCCTGTAGGCTTTTTCTGGGTGTGCCTGCAATATCCTTTAATATCCTTTAAGTACTTTTGTGTGGCTTGTTGCTGCAGAAAGCAAACATGAGTCACAATCAGCAAGAATATCAGCCACAAGATCAGCCACACACACAAAGCCAAGACAAAACAAAACCCCACACTAAGGTAACAAATCCTGCAATATCCCCATCATTTAATTACTTTTGTGTGGCTTGTTGCTGCATGAGTCATCATCAGCAAAGAATAACAGCCATAAGATCAGCCACAAGATCAGCCGACAAAGCCAAACAAAACAAAACCCCACACTAAGGTAACAAATCCTGCAATATCCCTTAATATCCTTTGATTACTTTTGTGATCTTTTGTGTGGCTTGTTGCTGCAGATAACACACATGAGTCATCATCAGCAAAAAATAACAGCCACAAGATCAGCCACAACAGGGAGAGGCTTGCCACCTGGTTGCGCTTCGTGACATCGGACATGAGTGATTTTCAGCGTGCTAAAATGTAAGTAATGCAGGGGGGACACTCCAGTTCCTTGAAATTCTGGGAAGTTGGGCATGTGCTAAAAATGTAACTTACAATTTGTGAGGTCCAACTTGATCCCAGAACCCACGTATTCCCTGCAAAATCTGAGGGTTTGGTTGCGTGGACTAATTGTAAGTTACAATTTTTCACGTCTGCAAATCTCACCTGTGTCCTTTTCCTTGGCGTTGATGCATCAGTTTGTGCGTGTGTATCATCAGGATTTCCGCTTGGCTTCATTGGTGGCGTCTGGAAGCTTGCGCCGACAGGGAGGGGCCGTGGTGGATGCTTTGTTCAAAAGCATCATGCTCAAGATCAACCGGAGAGGGTCTTAAACACATGTAACTCTAAGCCTGCCAGGTTGCAACTTACATTTTTTAGACCTCCCACACATCCCTTCGATCTGCCAACACACCCTGGGGGGGGGTTTTAAAAATGTAAGTTCAGGCCTCCCAGGTCTCAAGTTACATTTTCCAGACCCCCCCCCCTCCCCCGATTTGCCTAGTTTTGATGGTGCCTGGGGGGGGGTAACTTACATTTTTTGACCCCCTAGGGGGGTACCCTAAAATGTAACTTACTTTTTTGAGGTCCCCCCTCCCGGAAGTAGCTTAAGAGGGTAGGGATGATTCAGATCGATAAGATTGAGTACGAGACCCAAAGCGCATTGGGGAGCCTTCGCTTGAGCTGTAGGTGGAGTGCCCATCACTAGTTCTCGCCTCTTGGCAGATTCAAAATTGACAAACGGAAGAAGCCAAGACTGTCGGTGAACATACAAGAATTCAATTGACCTGGCTTGCCCAGCAGGTTGAGCGCTTCCAATCTCAGCTCCGCGAGCTCGAATGCCAGTTGATGGGCCAATTTTAAAAAGGAAACGGGATGAATATTCTTGAATGACCCACAAGGCTAAAGAAATCCATCACAAAGGCTAAGAATATGATCAGTACGAATATGTATCAAAGACATTCAACGCAAAGACACTTTCTTGTTATGCCCTCTGCTTGTTTTGCCCTGCACTTTGGCTTTCAAACACCCCTTTCCTGACTCTCTCGCTGTTATCTGAGGTGTTGGCACCACCTCGCTGGTCAAGGTTTTCCTTCTCCCGGAATCTCTTTTTCTCCCTCATGACGAGTAATATCCCACGAGCATGCTATGACTCACTGAGGTCTGGGGTCTCTATAGGTCTCTCGTTCTGATCGCATATGAGGATAACGTGTGTGCAAGATTGTGCAAGCACTGCTTGCAACAGCTTGACACCGCTTGAAACCACTTGGCACACGTGGAACTGCCCAAAGTTGGGTGACTTCTGCCAAGGTTGGTGCGGAAGCAGCTCGCCTCTGGCCTCTGCCTGCGAGGGCAAAGATTGAACACTTCCCTGCAGAATTGGCATGTCAGACATGATGTCAGCAGAGTTCAAAGACAATTATCTTTGCTAGACCTATCTAATTATGGCCCCATTCATCGTTCCTAATTAAGTGCTCCTGAGCGTTCCTCCTAGCCCCTTGACTCAGGAAGCTGCCTCCGCCTTGGCTTTCAGCTTGGCAAACGCCGCCCAAAAAACGCTTCCTTTGTCCGGATCAGATGGCTTGGGAGTTTCGGATGCCTTAGGAACAGCTCGCCCGGTGAAACATCGAAGTTGGACATCCTCAGACTCCAATCGCGTCTGCTGGGTAGCTGAACTGGCTTTTCCTCCTCTTCCGGACTGCTGGCCCTGCTGGCCTGGGCAAAACGTCAACAACTCTGTCATCCTCCAGCATTTCGGATCCCCAAATTGCCAGAGTACGTAACTAACCTCGCCACAGGTATGAGGTGGTATGACTTCTTTCATGCTCTTCAAGCGAGCAAGTTGTACACTTGCTTACAGTTGGTCCTTTTGCCAGGGCAGTTGTTTATCGTTGAGCCCAAGTCGCTGCAGCTTGCTGCAAATTCTCAGGGCGTATGGCCAGCTGACCTTGATTTCTTGGATCTCTTGCATCTCATGCTCGATTCTAGGGTTAGGGAAACCAAGAAAACGCACTTCTGCCGCTACTAGCCATGGATCAATTTTGCCCACGGACTTGGTAAACATCCTGAAATGACCAGACCAGAATAGTCTACTGTACCAGCGCCTCATTGCTATTTGTCTCCCGCGCTTTTGACCCACAGTCACATCCACATGTTCTCACATGGTCCGGTGACACTCAGGCGACTGACTTGAGACTTCTAAGGCCATGACTTCCAGAGCCCAACTTCACGACTACTCGCCCGGGCCTCACAGTAGGGGGCCCAGTGGCCATGGAAAATAAAAGGCAAACAAATGCAAAAACAATGCCACGGCCATCGCTGAGAAGAAGGCTGTGAAGGATCATTGCTCCGAAGAACTTCAGCACTGCTTCCGTTCAGATCTGGCCTTTACCAACAGGTGTGTGTGTGTGTGCGAACTTCAGGTTTGAAAGCACAAAGCGCTCTTGTGATCTGCCTCTTCTCCAAGCCGCAAAGAGTTACCATATCTCCCTCCTAGTCAGACCCTTTCTCACCACAAGCGCCATCCCACATCCAGTCATGCATCATGGAATGGATGATAGTTACAGCATCCAGAAGCATCATCAGCATCCTTGAAGGCCATCCCAGGATGAGCTTGGCTGAGTCTTGGATCTTTGGGCCTGTGAATGGACATAGAATTGGAACAGGGAATGCCAAGCCCGTAGGTCAAACAACAGGGCCCAAGACTTGACTCAATGTGGTGAAGCAAACATTGTGGGTGTGACATTCATGGATATGTTATATATTCTATGATACATCATAATACATCTCACAATGACATGCTGGTCTCCTCGGCCCTAAGGAAATATCCAGCATGTGGAAAGCAAGCGCGCCTTGTTGGAGGTGCCTTTGAGCAATTGCACGGTGAAAACTTGAGTGTGTTGGCTCAAAGTCCAATGGGTCTGAGTCATGACTTGGTTTTGAATCTGTTTCTACGGCTGTACAAAAATTGTTTCTTTTGCTGGGATACCGCGGCTTTGACCAACACCCAAAACAAAAGATTGATCTAGGACCTGGTGCTCCTTCTCCAACCAGGCGAGGAATTCCTGCAGCGACTGCGTTGCTCCGGATGGGCACGTCAATGCTTTCGGTCGAAAGGTTAAGTTTCCAAAGCAGCCATGATTAGTGCGAGTGCTTCAAGGAAGCTTCCCCATCAGGCAAGGGGAGCTTCATTGAAGCGTGAGCTATCCTGTGTCCAGTTATTAGTACCGTCCTAGTAGCTAGTAGCTTACTCCCTTACTTAATTAAGTGGGCGCCCAATATAGTCAACAAAACAAGGGGACTGTGAGAGTGCAGTGGGTGGGAGCCGGCTAAAAACACTAGAAAGATCATGAAAGATCTAGAAAGGCTTTTGTGCCGACATGTCAGCCTTTTTGGGCAAAAAGAGCGAAGAAAACCTTTCAAGAGTTCCTGTGTTCTCATGCATCAGAATGCATGAGAACGTATGATTCTGTGATTTTCCGTGTATGATTGAGTACACCTCACTCTTCACTTGGCATCTGAACCGACGACACGTTGAACTCGTTGTCGATTCCGGCCATGCCCGGCTCCTCTAAGTCTTCGGGCTTCACCTCACCCGGAAGCTGCGGCTTCAGCTCCTGCCCTGCGAGCGATCCACTCACTCGGAACTGAACATCAAAACACCCACATTCCGAGTGGCGTTTCGAGTTTTCAAGAGGAACTGCGTTCTAAGCTTTCGGCGTAGAAGGTCTGAGCTCAAAGGCGCTGCTTGAGCTATGCGGGCACAAACAAGTCCAACCAGCACCTGGACAAACCGACTTGAGTCTACCGAGTCTACCTCTGCCGGGTGCCAGGTGCGTGATCTACTTGAGGTTGGAAGGAGGTTCACGAATGCTAGCCAAAGTGTGTGTAAGGAAGCCATGAAGAAGCTGCTCGCATTTTGGCATGATTTGGCGTGTAATTATTGCAATCATGATGCATGACAAAAGATGACAAATTGTACGTTTAGATTCAGAGGTGAATATGTGGAAATAGAATTTTCCGAAGCCTGCGATACCGAAGCAGTTGGACCGGTACTTACTTGCTTTGAGTTTGGATTCTCTCTGGGCATACACACTTTTTTGTGGAATATCTATTGAAGAATCAACTCTCGGCAGTGCCTCCTCTAGGTTTTGATGACAAAGAATTGTCAACCCATCAAGCACGCACGGCCGAAACATGCTGAAACTCAGTAAGCAAACTGGGGCAAAGATGGGCAAAGTATCTTATCATTTCAGCGTTCATCAAATACTTGAAAGTTTCTCAGCCACATCCAGCTACTGGTATGCGCAAGGCTACTTTAGGTCGAAAATGGGGTCTACGCTTGCGAGACTCTGGAACTCAAACAAGCCAAGGGGGAACCGGAAGGCCATCACATTGAGGTCCAACGACCTGGTCACAGAATGTCACAGGCTCATTCGTCGCATGTCACAGCATCTCTTGCAGCCATAAGGCACTAGTTCAAGACATGTCGTGCCTGTCTTGCGCTTCTTTTTGAAACTGTGATGCCTAAAATACGCGTCTTCCAAGCTATCAGAAACTAAGGCCAGCCTCAGCACAAATCGCAAGAGCCTCGCATGCTGGAACTGCTATCGAAGGAGTCCTCATGTAATACCAAGGCACCTGCAAGGCCAAGTTGCCAATAGTTGCCATGAGGCGCAACGCGCGCCATGCTGGGTGTCGCTCGCTCAATCCCAGGGATCTGGTGCTTCATCACCCTTGGATTGCAGGAAGTCATCGAACATCTCGTCTTCAATGCTGCTGCAAGCACCTTCAGGCAACCCCATCTTTGGAGTGCGGGATTTCATCAAATCTGCCTTGGTCTCACCCCCACCAATGCTCTTCAGGAGGTATTCAGCACGTTGGGCAAACACTTCCTCGTAAGCGCTCTTTGGATCGTCCACAAAGCCATCATGAGCCCATGTTGGAAAGCGCTCTGCTGAGCACGTTGAGCCCTTCTCAATTGCTTCTGTCCAAATATTGGGGCACCACTTGTTGGTGATCTGTTCAATGAGCAAGTTCTTTGCCTTAGAACCATGTGCACCTGTCAGGATTTCAGCACAAGGGCTATCCGTGAGCCCCACCCGATGGAGGCTGGCCATCATTCCAAAGGAACAACTGGTGGACATCTCAGGCTTTGCAATCATGCTGGCCTTCAACTTGTAGGGCGAGTAGTACGATGCAGCCGCCTCGTCCAAAGACTGATCATAGTAGCAGAATTGCCCGATGTCCACCTTTCTTGGTCAAGCAAGAGCGTCGTGGTTATTAAGTTTCCAAAAAATCTAGGAACCAAATCATTAGAGCGTGAGCTACTAGCTATCCTGCGTCCAGTTACCAGAAGCTAACTAGTCGCCCTCACTATCCTTACTTAAGTAAGTAGGCCCCTACTTCGTTGAGTAGTAGGAGGGCAAAGGACAACGCGGACCAAAAAGATCTGTTAAAAAGCAGTGTTTCGTTTTTGCTTTTTCTCTCATGCAAACATTCGCGAGCTGGTGCCTTGGCCCTCCGCTCTTTCCGTCTACGACTCCTCCTTTTTCTCCTCAATTTTTTATCTACCCTTTTTGTTTTTCAGGGCTGGTTAATCCAAGTAGAGACTTGTTGCACTGCATAGACCACAAAAACCTCATATGCAGGTTGCAAGCGCCTTCTATTGAATCACACTCACAAGCTTGAGACAAAAAACCTCGCGTGGTGCCACCAAGATAATGTGTTGAAATAACGTTTACTGAGTTGCGCGGCGGTTGTGCAGTGACAATGCGCAAACATGATGCGCGATGATGCGAGATTATGTTTCTGTCCATATGCCATATGATGTGATAGATACACACAGATCAGATCAAAACGTTCTGTCCACCAAGCTTTCTCTGCAAAAACGATGTGTGAACAACCGATTTAGACTGGGATTGAAAGTCTGTCAGGCCTGACTGATCCTGAATCAGCTAAATCGATGGTCATGCTCTGAAGAAGTCGAAATACGGTTTCAACATGCTCCAACAATATCATCTGTCAAGCCTGTTTCTATGGCGTTATTGCAAAAGAGCGACACACACACACAGTAACACTCATATAGTTTTAGATGTTTTAGTACATTTGGGCCGCAAGAAGACCAAATCCCAATGGAAGAACTGTTCACTGCACCTTGTATCGGTGCTGGTTGTAGAAGCCGGAACCCTTCCTCTTCTTCAATTCAATGTACTTAGTTCCGGCATCCGCATTGCTGTCAGCCTTGTTGAAGTATCCCCTCTTGTTTTCATAGTCCCAGAGGCACCCTTTTGCCCATGGATATGTGTTCTTCTTGATGATTCTGAACCTCTTCTTGGTGAACTTCTTGACAATAGCCTTGCACTTGGTGATGCTGGTCACTGCGGCCAGCTTTTGGATGCGTCCGCTTTGTTGGCACTTCCCTGCCCGCACCCATGTCCCTGTACGAGGTCCATAGTCCACCAACTCCCCCTTGCGGGCACGAGCATAGAAGTAAGCATCCAGCTGACGCATCAACAAGCAAACATCCTTCTTGCTACAGGTGGTCACACCCGAGCTGCTTCGCAAATTCCGGAAGTACTTAGGGCTTGTCTCAGGCTCAGGGCACATCTCCTCCTTCAAGTCCGTCCCAGTACGAAAACCTTCTGCCAACGTGAACAGAACAGCCACAAGAAGCTTGGAACGCATGTCGATTTCGTAGACCTCGGTGAGGTGATATGGGAACAAACCTTTCACGGCTTTGGCTTGGGCCAAAAATACTCCAAAGGGACACCTCGTGACCCATGTGTCAAAAAGCCTGTGCCTTCACGATTTGACACCGCCAAAAGCAAATATATTTTTCCGAGGCTGATGCTTGACGTAGTCTCTCAGTGATTGTGGCCTAGACAGCAGCAGGAGGACATCATGTCCATAATGTTTGCAAACACTGCAAGCACGCACTGCATCGTACCAAAGTTTGCTCAACGGTTTTTGAGTCGGGTTAAAATTCAAAAACATGTTGCTTTCATTTCCTTTCAATATACCACCAACAAACAGTCAGTGCCGTTCAACACCACCCGAGTCCATCAATCTGCAGCAAAAGGGCTGGCTGCAATTTGCCATTTTTACTGGTGCTACTGCTGCTTGTGCCTCAGGAATTCCGACTTGCATGTTGCACAGCACGTTTCTTCGGTTTTTGGCTAATCGTTGACGTGAATTTGTTTGCGTTTCCTCGTCTCTTCCTCTAAGAGAAAAACTGTTGCCATTCAAGGGGACAAAGACCTGGAAAACCATCAAAAAACGACGGACTACTGCGTTAATTACTGTACATTACCTGCTCGAATGACGCTCAAGTAAAGTGACAAGGCTACTGTTCAGCCTCGACTTGCAAAACACATGCAAGCACAATGTAGTATCATGCAGTTGCACATGCAATCTACTTTCAATAACTTGCATCCCGCCAGGTCCAGTACTTGCCTCTGGATTGGGAGTAGTGCTGCCTTTGCACGTCTTTGAACATGCAGCATTGCTGATCTTGCCAAAACCACCAAAAACTACCTTATATTAAATCATGACCAAACATGTCTTGCAGGAAATGGACATGACATGGATGTACGATAAGCAGTAAGCATGGGGCAGTGTAGTTGGTAGAAAGGACTGACTCACACACACACACACACACACTCTGACATTCTGACATTGGTTTTCAGTGACTCAGTTACCACGTTGGGAAAATGGTGAGGGAACGGCAAGGCGCATGAGTCGGCACAAACAGTATTGTTTAAAAATGTTTCCACAGGTGCAAGTCTGCAGTCGGCGGCTGGCTGCAACTCACGATCGGCTAAGAAGTGCAGTGGAAAAACCTGTTTTTGGGGAAGGTAGCATGAGGAAGGACCGTGAAAACAACGAACAGCGGCAGGGTGGACCAATGGAGTCAATGTGTTGAAAGCAGGTACGTCAGTTCCGCGTCCGGAACTGATATCAGTACCGCCACAGAAGCCTCTTCGTTGGACTGTCACTTCTGTGGGGTAGACAGTCCCCCTGCTGAAGTTGGTTGAGAACCCTTTGTCCACGGGTAAACACACACAAATCGCCGGCTTCGGCGCTTTTTCAAAGAAGGTGGCGCACACACGGCGCCGCTTCGCGGCGCGCATGTGAAAAACCTAAATAGTCACCTAAAAAGCCTTAGAAACAAAAGGAAAGAAAGACAGAAAGAGCAGCGCTAAGAGGGGAAGAAGGAAAGATAGGTGTAGGAAAAATGACTACTTAGCCCTTGACTGGGGTAGGGAAACGAGCCTCAAGAACAACCTCACAAGCCTGAGAGAAAGCCCAAAAAACGACCGAAGGCGTAAGAAGAAAAGCGGGGGGCAGGGAAGTGTATGTACATGTGTGTGTCCGTGTGTGTGTATGAATACTTAGCCCTCTAGAATTACTGATTACTTAGCAGAAATGAATTGCGTGCAATAGCTAGGGAGCGGGACTTTAGTCTTAGACCGCCCGGGTAGGAAAGACTAGAAAAAGAACAACACAGGGAAAGGCGCCGACACACAAGTGTGTCGAGTACCATTTCCCTATGTTGCCCTAAATAGGTAGGGAGTGGAACTCAGCGGGGGGGGGGTTGGGGAACCTGCCTCATTGGGGGGTTGAACACCGCACCGTTTTATAGCCCGGCGGCTGTCGAAGTAGTCCCGTTTTTGGGCCCGGCGGCCAATGCATCAGTTGATTCTATGGATGCGTCGATGACTTCCAGTGGAAATCCAGTGGTAGGTGGCAAGTTGGGGTGGATGATTTCCTATGCAAAAGCGGCGCCCCGGTGACGGGGATCACACTCAGCACCCGAGTGGGACGGCTGAGCGAAACACACTCTGACATTGGTTTTCAGTGACTCAGTTACCACGTTGGGAAAATGGTGAGGGAACGGCAAGGCGCATGAGTCGGCACAAACAGTATTGTTTAAAAATGTTTCCACAGGTGCAAGTCTGCAGTCGGCGGCTGGCTGCAACTCACGATCGGCTAAGAAGTGCAGTGGAAAAACCTGTTTTTGGGGAAGGTAGCATGAGGAAGGACCGTGAAAACAACGAACAGCGGCAGGGTGGACCAGTGGAGTCAATGTGTTGAAAGCAGGTACGTCAGTTCCGCGTCCGGAACTGATATCAGTACCGCCACAGAAGCCTCTTCGTTGGACTGTCACTTCTGTGGACAGTCCCCCTGCTGAAGTTGGTTGAGAACCCTTTGTCCAGGGGTGGACACACACACACACTCTGACATTGGTTTTCAGTGACTCAGTTACCACGATGGGAA